CCGCGAGCCCGAGGAAGCGTCTCCGTCCGAGGATCGCCTGCGCGGCTCTTCTTGACTAGTTATTCCCCGAGTGCTGCGGCGAGACGGGCCTTTACTGGGCCGAGTCGGCCCTGCCCTGCCCCCCGCGGCCCCCCCCCCGGCCCCCCCTTGCCCCCCCCCCCCCGCCCCCCCCCCCCCGGCCCCCCCCCCGCCCCGGCTTTCCCCCCCGCCGCCCGCTCGCCCCCCCGCGGCCCGCTCTCCACCAGAATTTTCCCCGCCGGACCTTGGCACTCTGAGGCAGCCTAGTGCACCTATGCACAACCGTAAGGCGACGCAACACAGTGTCCAAACACGACATGCTGTATTCGACAACTCGGGGTAAACAGGCGACGCTCTGCTGGGGTCTGGAGAACAAACGGGGGCGCCCGGCAGCCGCTCCGGGCCTCGCCCTGCTCCACGAACCACCCGGGGGCTCCTCGGCGGCTGGCCTGCCCCGTCAGGCAGCGTCTCTGGTCTGGCGTCGGATCAGCTCCGCGTAGAGGCCGCCCTTCCGCATCAGCTCGGCGTGTGTTCCGGCCTGGGGAGACGGGGAGGCGAGCGCCACGGCGCATCAGGGCACAGACCCACCTCCCGCGCTCGCGCTGGCCAGCTGGCTGCGCACGGGGCCCCCGGCGTCCGGGACGCGAGGGCAGCAGCGCCCTCCAGCCCGGGCTGCTCAGCGGCCGGTGTGCCTCTGACCTGGGGGGGGGAGGGCGGGCGCATCGGCCATCAGGACCAGTGCCAGGGACCACCTTCCCCTCCACGCAGGGGCCCCACTGAAGTCGCCGGCTACCCCTCCATCATGTGGCAGCAAGCTCCAGTTTAGCTATGCTGTGCAAGGGCTCCCCGTTATCTGTCCTCGGCTGACCTCTCTCCCCTCAACGATGTGCCATAAAAGGGGCGCATGCCCGTGCACCGCACCGCTCTCCTGCAGTCAGCCCACCTACCCTTCCGCCAGTGCCCTGGGTGGCGCAGGCGAGACAGCGGCCAATTCAGCCCAGGGTGGCCTCCTTTTGCTCTCGCCTGGCACGGGTCTACCTGAGGAACTCTGGCTCGTTTTCATGCTCCCCGGCTGTACTTGGGGCAAGATGTTGATCGCCACCAACTGTCATGGAGGCCCAGTTTGCACCAGTGGGGGTGCATGCAGCCTCGTTTACCCCAGGTAAAAAGAGAGGCCTGTGTGAATGTGCCTAATTAGAATTTGGCAGCAGACTGGGCGCGCCCTGTCCAGGCCTTAGTGAAGACGAGTGCTTCACCTCCTGAAGTGCATTTATCCGAGCAAAGCAAGGAAAACGGTGTTATTTCCAGCCAGCGGCTTCTGAACGCATCCGCACGTTGCACAGAAGCGCCCCCGTTCTCCGTGTCTCAGCTTTGACAGCAGCCCTTGATTTCCCTCGCTCTTTGCATCCATGCCTGGCCCTCTACTTCCACACAGCTGCCATCCGAGGACAGCGCTCGGCTGGGAGGGAGAGGGAAGGGCCGTCTGCTCGCCCACGACCCGCCGGGGCAGCCGTGGAGGTTGGACGGACTCGCGGTCTGGACCGGCGGTGGCCTGGCGGGGGTGGCGCCTGCCACCACCCAGCAGCCACAGTCGGAAGGGTCGACCGCAGGCCCAGCCGGGGGGCAGCAGGCGAGGCTGCGGCTGCGCCTGCGGGCCCCGGCCCCTGCGCCCTGGGCTGGGCCTCCGGCTCTCATGCCCCGGCAGGGGGTCCCGCGCCGCGCCGCGCCCCGCTCACCTCCGCCACACGGCCCCTGGCGAGCACCACGATGAGGTCGGCACCCTGCACTGTGCTGAGACGGTGGGCGATGACCAGCACGGTGCGGCCGGCCACCGCCCTGTCCAGCGCCTGCTGCACCACGTGCTCCGACTCCGCGTCCAGGGCGCTTGTGGCCTCGTCCAGGATCAGCACCTTGGGGTTCTTGATGAGCGCCCGGGCGATGGCCACGCGCTGCTTCTGCCCGCCAGACAAGGTCACCCCGCGCTCACCTGGGGGCAGAGAGCAGAAGCTGGAAGCCGAGGCTCCGGCTGGGGGCACTGGTGCGCGGGGGGCGGCGAGCCCAGCCCGCGGGAGCAAGCGGCACCCACCGAGTGGGAGCACGGTGCGGGACTAGCTGCCCCCCTCCACTTCTTCGGGCAGCCGCCCTCCCCAGCCTGGTGCTAGAAATACAAAATCGCCGAGCCCGGAGAAAAAGTACCTTGGGGGCACCAGGGGAGGGGAGAGCAGCCCTTGACAGAACGTCTGGAAAAATGCAGTTTAATTTATTAAGCACAGTAATTGTAAGAGCAACCCTAATCTACGTAAAACCCTTTTTGCTTGACCAAAAGGAACTCCCCTGCCTCGTCCCTGGAACACCCGAGCCGTCCTTCCCGCGGAAGCAGGAAGGGCTGCAGCAGAGGCAGAGAGCTGCCTGGCAGGAAGAACCGGCGGGGCGGCTGCTGGGGAAGCCGGCCCACGGGCAGTGCTGCGGGGAGCTCACCTAGCCGGGGAAGCATCTCGCCTGTCGGGGGTTGCAACCAGGCGGATGTTATGGAAGAACCTTCCCCAAACTATCTGCTATTTAAAGAGCAACTTTTTATTCCCTTCTGAAATATTTTCCTGATGCATTTTAGTATCTGTTCATTTTGAAAGGCTGCCTCCAGAGGTGGAGCTGGGCCAATTCTTACGCCCTGGGTGCCGGCAGCTGGGCTTCTCTCATTTATAAAGGGCTCATTTTTGTGGGCGCAGCTGAAGGTTCCACAGTGGGACTTGTCTAGTTAGGAACTGTATTAAAAACTCCCGTTTGCACGAAGAAAGATACAGTAGGTGGGATCACCTTCATGTATGTGGTGACCGTAGAAAGCCTGCACTATTTCCCTCCTAAGTCTTGTGCATTTCCCCCGTTTGCACTCAAGGTGTGTTTTAAAACGGCCTTCGTTGACGGGCATGGTGCCCTGCCCCGAAATGCAGGACTCTTCAGTGACCGTTTCTTCCTGTGTCACGATATGGCAGGTGACTCTCAGCGTATGTTGGACAACTGAGCTTGACTTGGAGTATCGGTGAAAAATACACCGGCACAATCATTTTAGCGTGGAATGGAAGGGACGAGAATGCCGTGAATCCCAATGGAAAGGGTTAAAGAGAAACTGGGGCTCCAAAATGTCCAGAAAGCTCACGGCCCTGGTCTTCCTACCAGAGTTTTTAAAAATCATTCTTGGGGAAGTAAAGCTTTCGTAGCAACATATAAACATCTTGTCTGAAACATTTTATGAACATATTTCATAATCCAAAGTTGTGCTCAGGTCCCTGAAAAATACCTGTTCTTCCAAAATTGTCTGAGCCTGCACACGGCTACCTAGCACCCCTCCAGGTGTCTCAGGCTTCGTCCTCAACGAGGATGGCCAGCGGTCCAGAGCTCTGGGTGCTGTAGTCCAAAAGAGCTGGAGGGCACCAGCTTGGGGAAGGTGGTTTTATGCAGCCGGCTGCGGCATCCTGAGAAACCCTCGTGGTCAGAATATTGGGAAACTCCGCCTCTGCCAGCCCAAAATCCGTGTGTCCTTTATGAACCCCTTTTACGCCAAATGGCTCCAGATCCCTTCTTACCTCTAATTCGTGGCATTATAGTAAAGCTACAGCACAGTTGCCGATGTGAACTTACGGATTTTCCAAAAAAGGAACACCTCACTCACCAGGTGAAGCTCTGCGAGGCGCACATTTTGCAAAGGCCGCGGGGGACTGGAGCCCAAAGTGCCCCGGAAGGCGTGGGAACAGGAAGAGAAGGCGGGCGGTGGGTGGGATGGACTACAGGAGGCGTGTTTCTCAAGAAAAGCGGATCGGAGGCTCTCCCCTGGTTCTGTCGGCTTCTTTCAAAACCACCATGCCAGGAGACGCACCCTTCTCCAGTCTAACTCACCCACAACGGTGTTGTAGCCATTGGGAAAGCTCCGAATAAACTCGTCCGCGTTGGCGAGGCGAGCGGCGGCATAGATCTCGGCGTCGGTGGCACACGGCTTGCCGAAGCGGATGTTCTCCATGATGCTCGTGCTGAACAGCACCGGTTCCTGGTGGGCGAGAGCGAGCCGGGAAGCGTCTGAGGCGGGAGGGAGCGGGTGCAAGGAGCCGGGCCCGGCCACGGCTCCCTCCCGCGAGTGCCTCTGCGGCAGTGGGCGTCTCATGCTCCTGCCGGGGGCAGCCCCAGGCCCCTCCAGGGGGCTGCCTCGCTGCTGGGAGGGACTACAGGGTGGCGCGCCCGGTGTTCTGCTGCATCAGGCAGTCGTCAAGCGAAGGCGCTCCAGAGCGCGCGCCAGCGGCACGCCTGAGGGAGGGAGGCTGGGCAGGGGCTCCACGCCCAGCTCTCGAAGCCAAGTCGCAACCAGCCCTGCCCTGCCCTCTGCGGATGAGACCAGCCCCTGCACCCGGGGCCCGACCCTTTTGAGTCTGTAAGCGCTTTTTGGAATTGGAAAAACTGCTGTGTGCACCATGAAGTTGGATCACTGCTTCAGCATCCACCTCCCACATCTACGGACCTTTGTTTGCATTGTATTCAGCAAGAACTTTGGTTTCCTAAGTGTTGGACACCACTATGTTTCTTTAATAGCGGATTATCTGATTATTCGTCGTGCAATCAAGCCTCGTTCTGGAAGTAAAAAATGACGCAGTGGAGGCTGCTGAGCTTTGGGCACGTCACGAGAGGCAAGACTTCCGGGAGAGCCGGTCACGCCCGGGAGCGTGGAAGGCGACGGAGGACAGGCAGACCACGGACGGACGGACGGACTCCGTCGAGGAGGCCGTGGCCTGGAGGGGGCAGGAGCGGGGCAGGCCTGTCGAGGTCGAGGACTGGCGCTCGGGGGGCCCTCAGCCGCAGGGTCGCCTCAGTCGGAGACGGCGTGGCAGCGCTGAGCCGCAACGGCACAACCCCGGCCAGCTCCTCTGCTAAGCTTCCGCTGGGGCGACGCTCGCTTTTTTGTCGGGGGAGCTGCTCCGTGGATGCGTTTTGCGGTATAACAGGCTTTTCCGTTCACGGACTGCGTGCTCGTCCAAAACGTTTCCCCGTTTCGTGTGAATCAATGCCCGGTCAGCACAAACGGGTGCTCTGTGCCCTTCGACAGCTAAAGGACCGATGCGACGGGGGTGCGTGGCTGAGCAGCTGCCCCCCAGAACTGTACCGCACTTCCAAGGGGCGCCAGCGTTGCGTGGATGCCCGCTGCACTCTTTGGCCCCCTTCTGTGGAAGCCTCGGCACGACTGCCAGAGAGCTGCATGCATTTAACGCGACACCCCCCGGGTCCACCAAGGAGGGGGAAGTGCCGGGGGCGGGTGGCCACCCCTTCCCGGCCGCCTCGAGCCCCGCTGACCTTCCCCACCCAGCGGCAGTCATCCCAGGTGCTGACTTCACACCCCTCCCGGAACGCCTGCCTCTGCTCGCTTCCGCACGTGCTGCCCATCGGTTTCCCCAGGGTACGCCGCTCTCGGGCTTTGGCGGGGGGAGAGAGACACTTCCCTGCCTCCCTGAGCCTCCCCCGCCCCCTTTCAGCCCCCTTAAACATCCTGGGGGGATTGCTGTGCTCCCTCCCGCCCTCCCCTCCCCTCCCCATACCTGGTTGATGAAGCCGATGATCTCCCCACGGAGCCAAGTGGGGTCGAGAGTGCAAATGTCGCGCCCGTCCAGGAGGATGGCCCCTTCGGTCGGCTCGTAGAACCGCTCCAGGAGGGCTGCCACCGTGGACTTGCCTGTGCGGAGGAGCTCGGTCAGTGGGCCGTGGGGCTGGCCGGCCGGCCTCCGGCAGGGGCGCCCAAGGCAGGAGGAGGGGGCAGCCGTGGGGCGGTGTTCTGGCCAGGCCAGCTGAGAGAGGCCGCTGATGTGTGTCCACCCCGAGAGCGGGGCAGGCCGTAGAGACGCCTGCTTCGTGGGGCACGCAGACCAGGGCAGGGCTGGCTGCAGGCGCCGCAGCGGACGAGGGCAGCATGGGTTGTTTTAGAATGGAAAGCCACGTGCAGGGAGGGCAGCAGGGGCAAGCGGTCGGAGGCAGCGCTGCGCCTGAGCACGCAGAGTGGGGGCAGCCAGCCGTGTGCCTCAAAACTGTTATTGCGACGTCACAGAACAGCGGCTCTATTTCAGGCGGCCCGAAACAGCTGCATGACCTCAGCCCGCGGCAGATCGCAGGCCAGCCAGGAGCAAGCGCCTCACCTCCGCCGGACGGTCCCACGATGGCCACCGTCTTGTTCGCGGGGATGGCGAGGCTGAAGTCTCGCAGCACTGGGCAGCCGGGCCGCGTGGGGTAACTGGCAGCAGCGGGAGGAAGCGGTCAGGCCCGGGCGGTGCTGCCTGCGCCGGGCTGGCCAGAGGCCCCCCCCCACGTCTCCCCGGCCGGGCGCCAGGCCCACTGCTGGGCCGGACATGACGCAGGAGCCCATCCGACTGCGGGAAGGCGCCCGCAGGGGCACCGGGGGACTCCCAGTGGAGCACAAAAGGACGGGGGGCGGTGGACGTGTTCCGGCAGGCGGGAACACTTCTCCACAGTGTGGCACGTTCTCCTGGGCAAAGAGGCCTCATCCTGGCAATCTCCTCATGAACGGGAAAATCTCACACATCGGAACCTGTGTGGCTGCAGCCGCGGGCCGGCTGACAGGGGGCTGATGCCTGGAAATGCCCAGGACCCGTGGGGGGGGGCTGCCTCGATAGTGGGGGTGCCTCTTCCGTCCCCATTCCGGAAACGGAGCCACACGCGTGCAGTGCACCAAAAAGACCCCGGGAAGCCGAGCCCCCTGCGCGAAAGCCTTGTTCTCTCCCGCCCCCCCCCCACCCACCTCGAGGCCTCACCTGAAGCAGACGCCTTGGAACTCGACGCGCCCGCTCAGCAAGCTGCACGCAAGCTGCTCCCTCTCGCACACGGGGGTCTCCGGGAGCAGGGCCATGAACTCAAAGACGCGGGCCCCGGCACTCATGCCCCGCAGCACCTGCGGGGGGGGGGGGGGGCAAGGGCACAGGCCGTGAGGGGCTGGCCCTCCACGCTCCGGCGCCGTGCCTCCGCCCCACGGACGAGAGCCGCTCCTCCCGGGTCAGCAGCCCCTCGGGGCCCGAGCGCATCCCGCTCTCCGGGGGCAGGAAGGAGGCCCGCCCCACCCTGCAGCCCTGCCACGTACCTGCCCGAACAGGATGGAGATGCTGGCCATTGACCTAGGAAAACAAGCGGGCGCTGTGTCGGGGGGGGGGGGGATGCAAGCCGCCTGCCCCGCCTGGCCTCTCCAGCCCAGTCCGCCCCAGGCTCAGGCGGCGGCTTCCCCGGCCCTCCCTGGAGACGCTGCCAGACCGGACTGGGGCTGGCCGCCCACAAAGCCGCTGTGCCCCTGCGGGCGGCCCTCCCCCCGGGCGGCACTCTGCAGCCTCCGCCCTACCTCTGCACTGTCTGCGAGGAGACCAGGAAGGACATCAGGCCTCCGGGAGTCATCTCTGACCCGGCCATGAGGGAGCCGCCGACAAAGATGGTGCCCAGCACGACGCCTGGAAGAGAGTGGGAGAGGCTGCGGGACGCGGGTGCACCAGGGAAGCCCTCGGGAAGCGGGGAGGCGTGGGGAGAGCGCCTGGGCGGGCGGGCCAGCCGGCCAGCCGCACACGGAGGGTGCCTCTGGCTGGGGCAGCCCCCCAGCGCTCGGGCACGCTCCAGAAAAGACACGGCAGCATGCCAACGGCTCCCTGCAGAGCAAGCCAGGTGCCAAAGCCCGGGACATGCGCAAACCGCAAGAGGCCCTGTGGCGCCAGGGATGATGCCCGGAGGGCTGGCTTCCGGAGCAGAGGCGCCCTGGTGCCACCAGCTGGCCTGTGTGCGGACACGCAGCTCCCGGCGGCCCCGCTCAGCCAGCAAAGCCCCAGGCCAGGGTTTCGGGGAGGCACGTTCCCCTCGGCTGCCCCTCAGAACCTCTTGCTGGCCACACGTGGCTTGCAATTCGTAGGCTGGAGGGCACCCGCTGCGGTCCGGGGCCGCCTCGCGAGAGCGGCACCCAGGCGTGCTCAGCCGCACCACACGTCTTGCCCCCACCCCGCCAGCTCCAGGGCAGCTGGAGAACCACTTCAAATGCCAGGCGCCCTCTGGGCGAGCAGCATCAACGCTCCTTTGCTCGCTCGGTGCTCTGTCCTGCTGCTAGATTCCATTTAGGGTTGTGTGTTGGAACGGTCTTATTCTCTGCAACTGGTTTCACTTCGCTTTTATTCTGTGCTGCTTAAATGCTCAGGTGTTACGGTTTCACTGTCTTTTACGCCACCCAGAGAATTTCACTCTTGGCTACTTTGCAAGCAAAGTGAATGAGCAGCAGCAGAGCGCGCAGAAAGGGAGGGCAGGAGCAGGGCTGGCCAGTCGGCCCCCCAGCGCGGGCGGCTGCCACTCACAGTTCAGGGCCACGTTGGAGAGTCCCTGGAAGAAGGCGATGCCCAGCCCCAGGCTCATGTTGAGGCGGCTCGAGTGATCGACCTCGGCTGAATATCGCCTGTGGCGAGAGCAGGGGGAGAGTCGAGGAGACCGGGAGTCCCGCCCAAGCAGTCCCTGTCCGAGCCGGCCCCAGCCTGGCGACCCCTGGGCGGGGCGGATGGCGACGCCAGCATCTGCCAACCAGCCGGCTGGCCGCCGTGCCGGGTCCAGCACTTCCAGAGAGCTGCCCGGGGCACGCGGCACTGCGTGGTGCCAGAGGCGGAGCGCCCGGCCCAGGGGGCCAACCACGTGCATCCGGCAGCCCGGGCAAGGCGAGGAGGAGCGAGACGGGGCGTGTGGTGGGGGCAGAGCGAGGCCCCCGTCCCCGCTGCGCTCCAGCAGAAGCCAGGGCAGCTGTCCCATGAGGGGGTCCCTCCGAGGGTGCTCAATGAGGCCGTGCAACCCTGGGGGTGGCGGCTCCCGACACGGGGGAGGGTGGTGCTCACTCCATCTCCTTGCTCTCCATGGCGAAGGCCCGCACCGTCCGGACGTTGCCCAGAGCCTCGTCTGCCACGGCCGTGGCCTTGGCCACCTGCACCGACAGGGGAAGCGCTGACGCCTACACCGCTTTCAGCGCCCTGCTTTCGCGGTGTCACCGCCTCCCTGAATCGCCAGCAGGCGGGACCGCACTGCACGCAGTGGTGCAGAGCAGAGGGCTGCCCGTCCGCTGACCGCGCAATCGCCACGGGGCTGGGAGGGAAGAAGGTGCGACCCTGGGAAAGCCGGCACCGTCTCAGGGAGGGGCATCCGCCCCCATGGGACGCTCCCCAGGGGCTGCGGGCAGGTGGGGCAGGGGGCTCCCCCAGAATGCAGGCCGAAGCCAAGCAATGTCACAAAGTTGGATCCCAGTCAGCTGCCACAGGGCAAAAGAGACGCACCTGTAGGCCCGAAACTGCACAGGGGCTTTGGCGCCCCAGACAGCATCCCCCCGTCCCGTCCCACTCCGCTACTGCTCCCTCCACTGGCACAGCCAAGCAAAAGGAACAACCGGGCCACGGCCACGCCTGAACCAGGAGGCGGCGGGCAGGGTACAGCCCCACTCACCTGTTCTTGGGCTCTGCGTGAAAGCTTGCGCAGGGAGGAGCCGATGAAGGCCCCGATTCCGACCAGGAACGGCATCACCACCACCAGCAGCCCGGTCAGCTTGGGCGAGATGATGTAGAGGGACACGAAGCAGCCCACCGTCTGCGTGAGGCTGCGCAGGCCCTGGGGAGGCAGAGCGAGCGACGGTGGCGCCCCGGGCAGGGAGGGCGGCCTCTGCGCGTGGGGCACCCCTGCCAGCCTGCGGGCTCAGGCAGGTGGCCCCCCACCCGGCCCCTCCCCCACAGCACCCACCTGAGAGATGACCAGCTTAAAGGAGGACTTGAACTCCTGGACGTCGGCCGTCAGGCGATTTACCAACTGCCCCGTCTGAGTGGCATCGAAGAAGGACACTTCCCGCCTTGGGTGGGAAGGGGGGCAAGATGGGGAGTGGCCCGCGGCCCTCGGCTGCCCCGGCCGGAGCGCTCTTCGCAGCCGCTCAAGCTGCCACCTGGCCTGGGGCCCTGGAGGTAAAAGGCAGCCCCCTGGGCAACAGCCCCCCCCCCCCGCCAAGCAGCTGGCCTGCCAGAAGGGCGGAGGCGCGCCCGAGCCCAGCGGCTCTCGCCCAGCCCGGGATGCGGTGGAGGCAGTGGCTGGCGCCGGCCCACTCGCCAGGCGCATCCCCCGGACTCTTCCTCAGTGAGCGGCACGGGAAAAGCCTGCGCCACTCGGCGGCGCTCCGACCCGATGCTCGCAGCGCCCGCTGAACGTGCGGCTGGGCAGGCGGCTCGGTGCTTGCTCGCCGCGGCTGCCAGAGCAGTGGCACACGGGCGGCCGGCGTCCTGCCCGCCCCCCGCCACAGAGCACTCGGCCCCGCAGGCCAGGCCAGGCCAGGCCAGGCCAGGCCCCGCGGGCCACGGGGCAGCGGTGCTCCCTTCGCGCGGCCCCCGGCCGACCCACCTGAGCAAGGACGCAAACAGCTGCGTGCGCATGTTGTTGGCCACCTTCTCCCCGATCCGCGAGAGCAGCAGCAGGTACCCGAAGGTCAGGAAGCCCTGCAGGGACACGCGCCTCGCATCGGTCGGGCAGCTCCTCTCTGGGCCCCGCCGCCCAGCGGCCCCGAGCAGGGACACGGGGAGAGAGCGCCCCCCCCCCCGCCGCCGCCGCCGCCACCCACCTGCAGGCCGTAGATGCTCAGCAGGCGCAGGGCTGGCTCGCGCACCGCACGCAGGTAATCCCCCACGCGCATGTGCTGGGCCACCACGTTCACCATCTGGCCCAGGAGCAGCGGGATCTGAACGTTGAGGAGAGCAGCTCCCAGCGCAGACTGAAGCGAGAGGGGCGGGCGGGCGGCAAGCGGGCAAAGAGGTCGGCTCAGTTCGGAAGTCTTCGGCCCGTTGTCCTTTCACCTGTCCTCCCCCACACCCGCCTCGCCCGGCTTTGTGCAAGAGTGCCCCCCCCACTGAGCATGCGGGCCCACCCCCCTTTTTTGCTTTGCTCCAGCCCTGCGCCATCTGCAAGGGGGGAAACGGTGTGGGGAAGGCGCACGGAGCTCACCAGGACAGCCGCAGTCAGAGCCAGCAGCTCCGGACGCAGGAACCTCCAGAGCAGGGCCCAGTCGAACTCTGGCTCCTTCTCCGCTGGCGGAGGGACGCAAACCACTTCCGGCCCTTGTGCCTCCTGGCAGAAGACTCTGCGGGAGAAGTGGGCCCCCAGGCCGGCTAGGGCTGGGCCTGCCCACAGGGCTGCCACCCGGCCCAGGGGGAGACGCCTGCGGGGCAGGAGCAGCAGCACAGCCGGCGGGGGCTTGGCCAGGCTGCTGGGAGCCCGGAGGAAGCAAGCGAACCTGGCATGGCTGCCCGAGGACCTGTGAGGAGAAGAGGGAAAGAAGGAAAGTGAGGGCTCGCCCACCGCACTGCCTTGCCACCGCCTCAGCACTCTTTCCCCAGGGCCTCCTCCCCACAGGGCTGCCCCAGGCAGCGACTGGGCATGCAGGGGCAACCGCGAACAGGGAGCGAGGGCGAGGCGAGAGGCCGGAGTTCTGAAACCTGCTTCCAGGAGTAATTTGAGGGATTATTTCACTCCACTTTTCCCATGAGATTAAAAACAACCAAACCTGAAATCATCACCATCATCCCATCTCCGTTTGTGAGTAGCAAATGGAAACCGAACTCCCAGTAGCGGATAAGAAAGGATTTTAAAAGCCCAGTTTGCTTAATGAAAATAGTTTTCAGGGACTGTGTGTATCCTAAAAGAGGCCCAGTTGCCCAGTCTCGGGGGGCCACAAGAAGCCCTTTCGAAGCACGCTGTCTGGGACCAAGAGGCGGACCTCTGCACGTGGCTGGCCACCCTGTGGCACTGGGCCTCCTGCAGGACTGCTGGAAGCCTGGCCCACCGAGCAGAGCACCTGCAGCAGTCTCTGGGCAGCAGTGCGATCGATCGTCTGGCTGCAGCAGGATACCGGACACAGGAGCACGAGCCGGGGCTTATTAGTCCAGCACAAGATACCAGGCACCTGACAGGGAGGTGGGAGAAGCCCTCTCTGCCCGCCGGCAGCGGCCTGCAAGCTGCCCCGTCTGCTCCGGGCCTGGCTGTGGCGTCAGCAGAGTGCTGCCGCCTGGGAATTTCTCACGGCCAGCTGGTCGGCCACCGCGGTAGCAAAATGCCGGCCCAGATGCTTCGTCCTGATCCCGCAGGGTTCATCTCTCGTTCAGGGTATTCCCTGACGCATGCCAGGTATGCGTTAATCTTTAAGGCTTATGGACTGCCCAGCCGGCAAGCGCCTCCGGGGAGGTTCACAGCTCTAACACGGCAATGGCACTCATGGGGAAGGCTGTCGATGGTCACTTGTCCTCAAAGCACCACAGAAGAGTTGGAAGGGGCCATGAAGGCCATCCGGTCCAACCCGCTGTTGTTGCAGGACTAGCTACACACTGCCTCCACCATCAAAGGAATAGGCCTGCATCCGCCACGCGCCAAGAACTCGGGCAGCAGCAGGCGCTGTTCACCCGACCTGCTTGTGGGCTGCGCACAGGCTGCTGGGTGGCCACCCAGATCATGCCGCCACGCTGCACCGAACGGCCTGACGCAGCTGGATGCTCTTCCCGTGGCCATGCGTGGGGAAGAGAGACTCAGATCTCAGCCCAGCTTGCAGCATCCGCTCTGGGTTTTGTTTTCCGGAAGTCAAAGGGCCAGCTCCTTCGGTGCAGAAGGGTGCGAGCAGCCGCTGGGAGCAGGCGGGGATGCCCACATGCTTAAGGAGCATGAGTGCCTCTGCGCACGTGCGCGTCCCAGGACCGCGAAGAGAACCGGGGACGGAGGTCCCTCGCTCTGGGCCACTGGATGTCCCGAGGGAACAGCACGGCTCCGGCTGCCGGGTCGAGGCCGCGGGGAGCCGCGTCTTCCTGATCCGCGGCAAGGGGCTCGGCTGATCAGGGCGCAGGGCCAGTCCCCGGACAGGGCGCACGCGGGCTGCCGAGAAGGCCTCAGGAGCGAACTTCAATTCCCAGCGTGCTCCGCGCGAGAGGAACCGCCTCGGCCATGACCACCCAGAGGGGCACACGCCCGGCATGCCACGCGCCGAACTACGGCGACCAGGATTCTTCGCGAGGGCCGTAGCAACATGGGGAAGCCATGCTCCCGGCTTGCCGCGCGAGGTCGACGGTTACCTGGCAACGAGTGAGGCCCGCGGGGGCCCGCTCTTGACCGACCGGCTCAGGCGGCAGCAGTAGCCGCGGCCCCCGGCCAGGCCAGGGCGCAGCAGCAGCCGCACTAACATGGCGGCGGGGGGACGGACGGACGGACGGACGGCGGCGGGAATGGCCTGCTCGCTCCCTCGCTCGCCCTGCTCAGGCGAGCCCCCCGGCCGGCAGCGGCCGCGGCGCCATAC